TTTTCTGTCCAAATAGCCAAACATATCTTTAGGGGTATACAAGCTGATTTCGCAGAGTATTCGTCGGTTCGTGCGCTACTACGAATAAACAAATTGTTTCGGTGCTCGATCCTTCAATTTACCCTTCCTAACTCTTACGCACAGCTGGAACTCAATCATTAGCCTACATACAAAGGCTTCCTTCATGCCTAAATCTAGCCCCGCCGTTAGATAATCTGAATAATATGACAAGCGATGTTGGATGGACTCGCACCAATGGAATATTAGACCCATTCGTAAAGTGCTGCCATCGGGCTCACTCTCGAGCCCCGCAAACTCCGCAGAGCAATTACTATTATAAGCAGGAGAATATTACAGGCAGTCGACGTTACAAGCGAATATGCGAGCTCCAGCAAGAAACACAGAAGACGTAAATGCGATCGCTGTGACAAAACGTTTATTCTCCTCACGTCTCGAAACCTGTAGTGGGTCCAGCATCAGAGAAATTAAAAGAAACAGGTGATTCATACGTAGAGTTTCAGTAGCATAGTGACAGAATCCTATGAGTCCTGTAACACCTTGAATAACCCGTTTCTACTAATGCCTCTGATGGTGGAGCCGCGACGAATTTCGAAACGTCAGGCAAATAAAATCCATGTCCCAACGATCACATTTACGTATCGGGAATGCCCGTCGTGAAAACCAAATTTTTAGGTCCTCTTTTTCATGTGAAGTGTCATTACAAAATATGCCCCGTTGCCATCTGCGTCCAAAAAGGAGTTACTCACAAGAAAAATCCCACTTTTTTCTTACTGAATTCAACTCACCCATTTTACCAGTCTTCCCAGCATTTGCTCTACCAGCGCCGGCGGCACTGGGTTTTGCCTGTGTCTGTGGCAGCGCGGATTTGGCGGGAGGCACTGGCTTGTGCGTTTGCCCCGTTGCCCTATAGATGGCCTGCACCCAGAGCTGCCGTTCATTTTCATCGTCGGTGGCAAAGATCATGTTGTCACCCTCTTTTACCAAATTGAAGAAAAAGGTGCCTCCCATGGTGCTCAGCTCTGAACGAAGGCGCAGAAAGAGGAGCAAGGAAAGGCGTGATATTGTTGTTTAATCATGAATATATGCATAAATTAGAGTACTCTTTTAAGGTCTTTTATCACATTTTCAAGTTCAAATCCTATTCACGATACTCGAAAGCTACACATTCTTTAGTTTTTCTTTACGTATTATCTATCCCTAAAGATCTCTTGATAAACAGGCTTCAGTTTGAAAAATAAGGAAAACAAATTCTCACTACTGGCAAATAGTTGACGATATCAACTGAAAAGATGACCAGATACAGAGAGAGTAAACGAGGTTATTTATCTTAAAAGTTTTCTATTTGGTTACTATAACCGTAAGGTTTCTTGATTCTTCAAACTTCAGGTGGTAAAGTTCCCTATAATTTGTATTTTTGTGATTTTTGACAGTATCGAAAATTGACGAAAAGCAAGGCACACGCAGTTTTGGTAGCTCGATTTTCTTTTTCTATTTTAACTGGATAGTTGTAAAGACTAAGTTCAAAACACGTAAATTAACTAACCAACAGCACGGGAGACAACTTGTGAACCCGAACAAATCAAAAGAGAGGACATGAACGTTTTTCATGCTTGGCAATTAAAGGTTGGAGCTACAGTGTACTTTTTCTGGTAAATAACTGGCCTCAAAGGTAGTTTAATCAGGAAAAGTGGACATTTAAAATTAACCTGCGTTTCCCATTATGCTGGTGATTGCTTGTAATGCTGCCATTTCAAGACTATGAGCACGGTACTTTTTTCTATGAAAAGTTGTTTTTTTCAGGAAGGGTGGCGAACATCGGCATGCAACGTCTGATTTGAAAACGCGTATTATATTTCTCCTTAGCAAGCAACATTAAGAAATATTTGACGCCTGTCCTCTTTAAAGGCCTGGGAATTCGAACAACTAAACAAATCCCTAATGAGTATCTGCAATGTGCTGTTATTGCCTCAATGTCTCCACATGACAAGGACCATGATCAGTTGCGATTGTCATCAGCTATAAACGTGAGTGTAAACTACAGCAGAAGAGTTGTCACGCCGGTCGTTAAGCTGTATATTCCTTATTATTATTTAGGTTCATTTATGGAAAATCATTATCGACAGAACTGCGCCTATGAGTAAACCTCAGGAACCAAATTGACTATAACGATAATTATAGTTGGTAGACATGTCTGTATAGACTTTTTACCAAATTTATATTGCAGACTTCTTTCTGAGTATAATCGGTAAGAGGATTAAACTACTTGTTATCAAAATAAAACATTTGGTCTGTCCGGCAGAATTGCGTTCAATGAACTCCATAATTCCGCAGGTGAACGTTACTTCTCACTTCCAAAATAAAGTTTGATTAAAAGGAAGTTTGCGTTTACAATATATGTGTATTTTGACAACAACTAGTCTCTCCGCCTGCGGCATTTGGACCGTTTGTTTGTCGTCAATACCCTCAACTCAGATCCAATCGAAAATTTATTTTTCTTATGTAAAAAGCACACAAAAGCGCACAAAACGGTAAAATGTTTCTATTCAAAATAGATCTGATCTTTCGCTTAACTAGAACATAGTCAAAACTACCATAGTCATTTGGACCGTTTCTCCCTAACAAAGGAGCCACTGCATCACATAGAGAAAAACAATCAACTAGGTACCACTTATTTGCGCTAAATTATTTTAATCATTGTCTAATTTAAGGTAAATTCCCCGTTCAGAAAACAGTCTATTATGCTTTATTTGGGCAGCATGAAATAGAGCTAGTTTCTGAATTGATAGTTCAAAAAATTATTTGTCAGTCATTACGTGATAATTTGTACAAAAACAATGTTTTGTTTCAAATAACGGTTCTTTCTTTTGGATTATTTAGATTTCGCCGAAGTTTTCGCGATTTACATATGTTACATTCCTTCATCATAGTTTTTAAGTCAGGTTACTTTACTAATCCTCAGTGACAAATATTGATTTCAAAATAATCTATGCCTCCCCACTACGAATTTTGAAATTTACCATCGAAAACATTAATGAAGAATATGACCTAATTTTGACCGTAATGCTAAGTATTTATACGCAGATACAATATTCTTGCATTCAGCAAACATTTCTATTGCCTAAGCAGAGTTTAAAGTGGTCTACG